GGTTGGGAGTTGGATTTATCCATTAATTCCTGGTGTATCTCCTTGTTATCAAACAGGACGTAACATATTCATCCTGCCAGATGTTCATTCTGCTGTAGAAGGTATATAATTCTGTATTGTCCATACTATAGTACAATATAATACAGCATGGTACTATAGTATAGTATAGTGGAACGTATAGTTGGAGAGTAAATCCTCACCTAGTACAATTTGCTGATGCAGATTAAAATGTTAAACATGGTCATTGCTTTTATGATGGAGGCAGCAAGCACCTCTGAAATGCTGGCAGATGTCTACCACACAACATTCCTGAAGACTATTATCTTCATACATTGTGGTTTATTGTTGGCTAAAAAACTGATATTACCTAAATATGGCACAACATTTATTATATGGCTGGAAATATGTACAATAGAACTGTAAGGTTTATGAATTCTGGCTAGAATTACTTTTTCCCTTTGAAAGAAGAAGGATTTTATTTTAGAACACATTTCAACTTAAATATTTGTGTCTAAAATTCTAATATGTTATCTAGTATTAAGAATTACAGTTTGTTTCTCATTATCCACTGTACTTTTTAGGTTCATCAGTGGGATTAATTCTTCCAGAAGAAGCTGATGACACAGTCTTTGAGGTATTAGAGGGTATTTTGCAATTAACTGTGACCAGAGTACCAGCAAAGACCAAACGTTCTGCACAGCAGAAGGATGCAGGCTACAGTTATTCTATTTCTCATGGGATTGTAACGGGTAACTCTAAAGTTGATTCTAAGTAATATTAGGTGGTATAATATATCAGGCTTTGTCATAATATGACCCGTCCTGGTGGAAATATCAGTTTATGGTGCTGATGGTTGGATTGCACTGGTTCAGGGTCAGACTTTTGTGCTAACAATGTTGACTGTTGAATACTTGACTTCTAATACCAGTGTTGGTCATTCAGTCAGTGACTAATGAATAAAATGAAATGAAAAACATAGTTATTATTGTTCAATGTACTCACTTGATTGATTTGTGGTTCATTTATCATTTTTGTTGTTTCAAGGAGCACATTACATTTCTCATGGCCTCATAAGAGGTGCAGAAAAAGTTGGTGAACTGATGGACTATGGAGCCCCTAAACTGATCCAGAAGATAGCCCCTGAGCCTGTACCTCAGCCTGTCAATCCTAAGTTGAGCCGAGGTCTACAAGTTGCCAAGGATGTTACAGGAACTGCTGTAGAAGTCACAGGTTTTATGGGTGAGAATCAGTGTTTCCATGTGTCCAAATGTATACTGTCATCTGATTTTAGGAATTGAATGTGTTTAAGGTAATTATAACTTAGTTTGTATATGCATAAACACATAAAGTACAGTTAAAATTTAATTTAATTTTCTGATCATATGTGACAGACTAAAATGCATATTTCTTATAGATTGTTTCGAGAGAGTAGTAACTGGGTATGGAGTAGCGAGGTTTTCCCTATTTTGGGGAAAATTGGAGGTAGTAATTTTTGGACTGGTGTACTAATCAGTTTTCAACAGTTTTAATTCAGCTGGTTATGCTTTTGTATAAAATTGTTTGCTGTTTACATTGTGATAGGCTCTTTACTAAAAGTAATTTACCCAGATGTTATTAAAATACAAAAATAGTGTAAGAAGCAACCTAAAAGAAACACACAAAGTGAAATCATTCTCATAAGTGAGTGGCTCTGTGGTGGATGGTGAGGTTTCATTTTTTTAATGAGCCAGGATGTATTGTGTTTATTTCCATATCCAGACTGGCTTTAGGGCCCACCGGCTTCCTGTTTAATGAAGATCTATAACTTTCATTGAAATGTGGTAGTGGAAGTAGAATACAAATAATTTCTGGCTCAGAGTGCAGCTGTAGTATGAGTAATTTGTAGCTGTAGGTTGCTGTCTTTAATAGTTGTGTGGCTGCAGTAAATGAACATCAAGGCGGATGAACTTCAGAAAATAGCAAATAGTACATTTGGAAAATGATTTCTACATTGAAGTACAGCTTTCTTACTTGTTATTCAACTATATATATATCCTGTTCACAGCACAGTGAGATGGAAATCACCATATGATAATACTTGTCTGTAATCTTTGTAAGGGTCCCGCGCCATAGCCGCGTGGTCTGAGGCACCATGCTTCAGACCAGCGATACGGAATGCGCGCTGGTTCAAGTCTCGGGAGAAGAAATTTTCTCATGAGCTTCCGACCAGTGTATGGGACCGGTGCCAACCCAGCATCATGAGGAAATTGGGGAGCTACAATAAGTAGCTTAATCTGGTCAGGAAATCTAGCAATGGCTGGGGGTTCGTCGTGCTGACCACACGTCACCCTATATCTGGTTGGATGATCATTCACCTCTGCTTGGGCATGTGAACGTGAGGCCAGCAGTCAAGCTAGTCGGCTTTGGCTCTCTAGAGCTGTTACACCACGGATTTAATTTAATTTTAATCTTTGTAAGGTCTAGGGCATGTAGCACACATGGGAAGAATCAGAAATGTGTACACCCAGATGCAGCAGTTGTGCATTATATAAATGCATGCATTTCCACCACTGACTGTTCTTGAAAATAGGTATAGCATTATCTGCTCACCATTTGGCTTGATAAAAGAAAAAAAAAAGTAAAGCTGTACCACTATA